TATATATATATATATATATATATATATATATATATATATATATATATATATATATATATTTAATGTAAAGCAAGATATAGCGGTCTAAACATCTGGACAGACATTAAGAACTGAATTAAATACGAATGGTATAAAATAATGTCATTAAATCCAAGTGCAGTGATGAATTCTCATAGAAAATTTGTTTTGGCATGAAAATTTGGTTACCTTTAATCACATTCATTGTGAATATTATTACATTACATTAGGTACGCTGCAGATAAACTTATGTAGCAGAAAATTGCTTTCTTCTCTGGGAAAATCTTGGATAAATACCTTCATCTTAAGGGGGAAAGATGGGAGGGGGGTTCGAATGAACTGCCCTTTTAGCTTTAAAAAAAATTTAAAATGAATTTTATCAAAATTCTGAATTAGGCCCGTTTCTCAAGTTGGGTAAACTAAGGGAGTAAGAAGATCCACTTTTTATCAGAAAAAAATAATCTCCCACTGATACTGCATGGCCATGGGACCGCAATTTTTTCTTTTTTTCTTTTTATTAAAGTTCACTGTGAAACTACTGAATAGCCCTCTGAGATGACAGGTACTTTCAACTGTCATTACTGAAAATGCTACCGCAACATCCATTCTGTTTATCTATTCTTATACTCACCCAACCAAGATGTCAGTTATTATTATGATATCAAAGGGAACAAAGGGTTGCATGATTTGTCCAGAGAATTGTGAAATTACCTTCGGCAAACTCGGAAATAAGCCTGTTCACATCTACAGTGCAAAAAATGTCAGTGAAATTAACTTTTTATATGAAAGAAAACAACTTGAATGCTTCCAGGGAAAATGAACTCTTCAAAAAAGGTCAAAATGAAAAGGAAACTTTTCTTGATTTAATTGAAAATGACCCTTGAAAAGATGTAATCAGTGCATGTTTGAACTAGAATATTCCCAGGACAAATATTAACACAAGATAAAAAAGGAAAAAGAAATGGAACTCCTTTTCACATTGAGCGACACAATTTTTCGTATCACACTGGTTTCAGAGATTTTTGTAAGGGCGTTATCTAAATGGAACACTGTCACTCCACTCCTGTGCTGGCTAGTTAATCATGTTAACTGGACTGAGGCCTTCATAGATAGCTACCTTTCGTTATAATCTCCCAAGAAATAATTAAAAAAAAAACTATTTAAAATTTTTTTCCCCAACAAAATGAAAAGTTGTCATTCCATCAGGCTTGTAAAAGGGAATAAAACCCTCTGTAGCATAATTAGGAGTTAGGACCAGAAAAACTGTACCGGACCTACCGGTCAATGTGAAATAGGCCAGAGTTTGTATTCGTAGCCTAGTCATAATGAACCATCCTCCAATGGATAACTGGTACATGAGGACGCAATGTAGAGAAGGTGCAATTTTTCCAGCAGGAGATGCCTTCAACCACATGGTTTTTTCACCATGTCTATAATCAAGGTATAAAGGGAATTCCAATGAGAACAATTAGCACATTCCATTGGTGTTGGTTATATAGGGCTATCTTCCCGTTGGACATAGCTGACCATACTGGAACATGCTTAATTCACACGAGACTTGATCTCAAATTGAGTTGTTGGACTTCAGGGTAAATTATTATTTTAGCTATATAAATATTTAATGTGTATTGGCTTCCTTTTAAGTAAAACAAGAAAAGCAGAAAAGTAAACAGGATGGGGGGGGGCGGGGGGGGGGAAAGTTATCTGTTGCAGTTATTTGATAATAATACTTTGACTAGCGTTTAATTTCTAAATTGTACCATTCCACTCACATATTCTAGTGATAACTGAAAATAGAAAGGGAATAGGGAATCTCACATTCAAGCATAAACACACACACACGGGTCCAAACAGAAGAAAGTTTTTCACTAACTTGGAGACTTCACAGGCGAATAACCCCTGGCGCCCTCTTTGTCTGTCCCCTGTCTCCATGATCTAACTGCATCTTGGAATGATTTGGCACTGGCCTCTTCATCATACTCCCCATAGAAAAGCGCTCCGCCATCTTGTTTTCCAGTGGCACCATCTTGAGTGTTTTTTGTAACCACACTGTTCCCTTGGCGCCATTCGTTAAGGGCCTGTTGGAAATCTTTCGCATTGGCTTCTTCGTTGACCGTACCATCTAAAAGAGATGGCTGCTGTTTCTTTTGGGTGTGTTGATTGGACGGAATGCTCTTACTCTGGCGCCATTCATTCAAGGCAGCTTGGAAGTCGTGTGCATTGGCTTCCTCGTCATAGCTGCCATGTAGGAGAGAAGAGCTGCCATTGCTGGCACCTACAGGACTGGTTCTAGGAATGTTCTGAAATACCATTATAGAATGACTTAATACATCTCTCATATATGTGATATCACACACATTCATCTGACATTTTTTTAATTTCTCAAATGTTAATATGAAAGAAAAACTAAATCACAATGTAGTAGAAGTGTCACAACTACAATTTCAATTCAATTCAATTTATTTCTGTACTGGTACATAGATTGTCATGACCTTGTACAATATGATATACAAATGACGATACAATACAGTTAGTGCATTACCATCTTTATATAATGAAGATAAGTACTAGTAAAATTACTCATAAAATATTCTACCTAAGCAATGAGATAAACCTTGGTGTGATTATAAATTTACCATAAACATACTATAAACATGTTACACAAAAAGAATATGTTTTTAAAAACTTAAAACCACCGTTACATAGCTGTTTACATGGCTGTTCAAAGCCAGTTTGATGACATTGATAATTACGATTAATGACAATTACATAAGACAGATAAGTAAATAAGTTACACAGATATAAATATTGTGCCATGTTCAGTCCCACTGCCGAGTCACTTCTCACAACAGTGGGACCATAAACTGACATTTTAAGGGAAATGCTAAGAGTTACCAAGCAGAGCACCCACTTCACTTCTTTTCTTGAATGATTTGATTATATAGTTGGAGAGGGACACTAAAGTATCTTTGTTGGCACTGTTAAATACATGGCATAATTGACTGTCTGATAACCTTGAATCAGCTTTTAGGAATGAGGTTTTACTGAAAAAGGTGACTCGGTCTGTTTTGTACATTGGGCATTGGAATATAAAATGGTATTCATCCTCAATTACCCCTTGTGTGCACAGGCGACAGATTCTGTCGCACCTTTCAGTTTTTGGCCTGGTGTGCTGCCCAGTTTCAATGTGGAGTTTATGGTCACTAAGACGTAGTTTAGCAAGGGTTGACAAGGTGTCATAATTTGTTATTTTATCAACATAAGTTGCCCTTTCACACTTTTGGTTAAGTATACGGAAGAGAGGTAATTTACTGTTGGCTTGAAGTTTGCTATTGCATATTTGGGTAAAGTGGTCAGTTTGTCTTTGTTTGAAAATTGTGGTGAAGTTTTTTGGAGGTGACTGGCTAAGCCACACATCACCAAGGCCAAATGTGAAAAGGATTTTTCGGATACCCTCAGACCATGACTTACAAGCTGGTCTGAGTGTGTGGACTGCGGGTGGGACATAGGGTGTCAGCAACTTGTAATTATTTATCTCTTGTATGTACGCTTGTTTCATTAGTGTGGCATCAGACATTTGAATAATTTTACACCATAGTTTGACAGATGCAAACTGTATTTTGGTATAGAGGGGAAGGCGGCCAAGTTCAGTGTATACACCATAGTTTGATACGTTTTGATGGAGGCCAAGGATTTGTTTGCAAAATTTTAAGTGCAACTTTTCTGTAGGGCAGTTATCTGGTGACACCGAGTAGCTCCATATCTCTGAGCAATATGTAAGGATTGGGGAAATGAGGGTATCAAATAATTTCTCTTTTAAGGATGTGTTAACATTACTCTGAAGTGGAAGAGACTTGGACAGACTGAAGAATGCCTTTGTAGCACGTTGTAGGAGATTATTTTTGGTTTCTGTAAAGCTTCCTGATCGATTTAGAAGGAGANGCATCAGACATTTGAATAATTTTACACCATAGTTTGACAGATGCAAACTGTATTTTGGTATAGAGGGGAAGGCGGCCAAGTTCAGTGTATACACCATAGTTTGATACGTTTTGATGGAGGCCAAGGATTTGTTTGCAAAATTTTAAGTGCAACTTTTCTGTAGGGCAGTTATCCGTTGACACCGAGTAGCCCCATATCTCTGAGCAATATGTAAGGATTGGGGAAATGAGGGTATCAAATAATTTCTCTTTTAAGGATGTGTTAACAATGAGTATATAGAAAAACTGTTGATTATAGAAGTAGTTTGTTAATCTGATTGTGTTCAGCAAGAGTCCCCATGGAGTCAGTGCCCATTAGCAAGGTGGACAAAATTAATTGTGAATGGTGCTGTATCTACATGTACCTGTTGATATTGTCCTGTATCTTTAGTATCGCTGTCTACACTGGATGTGCTATTGCTGTGGGACACCTTCAAAATCTGGGTCCTGGAAAAAGCGAAAATTGATTTTATGAATACAAAATTATAACAATTACTCTAATACTAGTAAAATGCTAGTATGTTATGAATTTGAGCCCTGCAAGAAAAAGTCAGCTTAATGTTATCAACAACAAATCTAATCCAGCCAATCTGAGGCTGGCTTTCAAACACGAGCTACAGTACACATTTTGTCCTTAGCATCATTCTCGTAAGTGTGAAGATTACTTGCATGGTTTTTTCGTTTTATGGCGTTAATGCAGAAAGTGTAGCTATGAACAATGACAACAGACTCAGGTGTTGGCCATATGTACAGCCACATTGTTTGTCCATAAACAAATAAATTCACAACTAACACATTTCTGTACACTGTCTTGAAGAACTGTGTGTTCCCAGAGTTTCAGAGACCTCTGGAAATGGACCTCTTACAAAAATGGCAGTGGCATGTAGATAGGTAGTACTAGTACAGTCCCCGGCAGCTATTAAATGCCATTGGGCATGTTTTATACCAGGTAAAAATACAGCTTAACTGAAAAATATCCATGCCATTTAGATGACCTTTTTTGGAAATGCCGACAGACAAAGTATGCCACTTTTGCATTTACCACCGAGTGAGTAAATATGAGTCACTTCCATAACAGAGATCTGATCCATGTAAATTTCACTCATGGTCACGGTGACAATTAGAACTCAAGAGCTCAAAAAGCGGGTTCACAGATAGTAATTCTTTAAATTGTTTTGAGTAGAGTATACCCCTGTGATAATAAGAAACTAGTTGACATTTCAAGGAAAACTAATTACTCTGCCACACGACACTCATTGTGTGGCCTAATTATAATAACACAAGTGTGGAGTTTGACTGAAACTTTCTCCCGACTCATGATCATTAAATCGAATAACACCACCCTTGCTATGGAACTTAATACGTTCGCGTGTCTATTTTTCAATTGCAAGGTGTGCGGAGGTCATCGCGTGATGTCATGGGAGCCTTTTCATTGTGTTATACCCGTAGGGAGTTTTTGTGCAAGAAATCACATCGTATTTCAGGGGAACATGTTTTTAAAAATACTGTACTGACAACTTTTTTTAGGGGGGGATTATCAATATGATTAGCTATAGAGAATATGGAGACATGTTGGAGAAAAGAACTTTATTTTGGGTAGCTGGCTTCAGAGGATTGGATAAAATGTACCAAATCTGTTAAGTAATGATGTATCCCACCCTTAGCAAAATGAAAGTTTGCAGCAAAATTGTAGCAATATCTTAGTTTTAGTTTTATTTTGCAGCAATGAGTTTGCAGGAGTTTACAAGAAAAATTTATTGCTGCTAATTTGATGCCATATTGAAGCAAAAATTGCAAGAAGGAATTGCAGTTTGCAGCAATATTGCAGCATATTTGCTGTGAATTTGCGGTAGGCCTGATATTTTGCTAAGGGCAGCAGTTAATTCACCTGAAGTTTGGATAGTTAAAAAGGGCAAGGTCGTACTCGTAGCTGTTCCCAATTAACACCTATTTCTGTTTTAAATCTTTTCGACAAGGTGCGCTCATACAGCACAAACAACAATTAGTACATAACATACATTGCCACTAATAAGATTATAGAAAAATTTATTTTTTTTTAAATACATCTTAATTTCATTAAATTTTTAGACTTATTAAATAATACTTTGGTTGGTTTTATATCTCTTTTAGTTTTTATTTCATTTTAATAGTTTTGAATTAATCTTTGCCTCCTCCAAGTGTTGAGTATAGAATACAAAAATGCTGCTGAAAACAAGTGGTGTGTTAAGCTATTACACTGACTGCATTCAGCTAGAGTCCCCTCGGAGTTGAATATATCTATGTAGACCATTCGTTTCAGTGGGAATGAGGCCTAATGGCTACCTACCCAGACATCCATCACCAGGATCAGGTACCTTTTTTTAACATCTTATCAATCATCAACCACTTATATTAAGTACAATAAAACACAGATGCTTTAGCTGCTGGTTGCTCAAAGACTAATGATCAAGTTTCCATCGAAAAAACAAAGGCATTATTTCTTATAATTCATACTGACTTGGCCGTGATTAATCAAAACTTAAACTAAAGCACTGTTCTTTTTTTTTTCCTGGGTTCTAATGATCAATGTCCGATCTGGATAGGTTAATACCGGTATCTTAAAAACTGATGATTCAGAAATAAAAGTAAAAAAATGCACTTTTCTTTAGATGTAAAAAACGTATCTATCTATCTGGATCTTTAATCGTCTTTTTTTTTGTCTTGTGTTGCAACTGCTGGTTATTAGAAAGATAAAGGCTGTATTCCCAGAGCTTTTAGATCGATCTATCCCCACGGGGAGTCTCACTAGATTACTGTCAGATAATCCGGCTTAAATGTCCGTCCCACCTACTACAAGCTGTAAGGGGGTAATTAACTTTTGTCCACTCGGCTGACAGCTATTTAGCGTGAACCCCCAGGGAGTTAGGTCGATCTAAATTAGATCGATCTAATCTCTGGAAATGGGGTCAAAGAAAGATATTGTTTTCATCTATATTGTTGTGTGAGATAAATGAATGAAAATGTTTTTATTTGTTCTACTTTTCCCCATCATCCTTAAATTACAGATTTTGACTTCTCCTGGCCATCTGGGTGCACAATTACCCTGTCTCTACATGGATATTAGTTAACTTTGTATTTTTAAATCCTGTTATATAAATTTTTTCATTACTAATCTCCCTCTCTCTCTCTTTCTCATTTTATCTCTCTTGCTTTGGCTCTCCCATTCTCTCTTTCTTTTTTTTTGGTTCTCTCTCTCTCTCTCTCTCTCTCTCACACACACACACACACACACACACACACACACACACACACACACACACACACACACACGAGTACACATTCAATCTCACACACACACACACTTCATCTGTCTCTCTCAATCACTATCTCTCTCTTTCTACCCTGCTATCTCCTAAAATACAATCTCACTAAAATAATCTCACTAAAATACGAGCCTGTTGTAAGCCAGCTCCCAGCTTAATTTCTCCTCCCCCATCCCCATACTTCAGACTTCCTGCCTGACAGCTTCTTCATTTTCAATTCCCACATGCACGCTTATCTAATAAGCAGCCATAGGCGAATACATGCAAGAAGCATGTGGAAATTTCAAAATGAAGAAACCACCCAGCCTACATTGGCCCTAAAGCCAAGAATCTTCCATTACATTGCTCGTTTAATAATGAACCTTGGTATTTCATCCTAAAACTATAATAGTCTTTCCTGTGTCTCATCAACCCGATGTTAGTTCAGCAATTACGTCAAATTTTCAAATGCATCGAGGTTTTTTTATGTACCACTATCAGACTCTCAGATCAGTTGTGGTTTTGGGCAGGAAACCAAATAACTTTTTAATAAGTTTGAATCAGCATTTGTAAATATCATGAGTAGACAACTATTTTTTTTTTTTTTGGGAGGGGGGGTAATTAATTTGTGTTGGCCGGATTTATTGAGTAATTACTGTAATGCACTGACAGGAAGCAATGGAACACCTCACTTGATTCCTATCAAAATGTGAGCACTTTTAATTGTAATGGGAAATTTGATCTCTTATCAATCAGGAAAATCTGTCCTGATGTATTAGGTCTAGTTCACGTTGCATTTACTGGTTACTGGTTATGAATCCGTCTTTTTAGGAGAGAGAGAGAGAGAGAAGAGGGAGCAGAAAGAGAAAGAGAGACAGAGAGAGAGAGAGAGAGTATGAGAGGAAGGTGAGAGGGCGAGAGAGAGAGAGAGAGAAGAAAGGGAGAAGGGTGAGAGAGAGAGAGAGAGAGAGGAAGGGGGAGGTTGAGAGAGAGAGATCAATGTGAGAAAAAGGAAAGGGAAAGAGATGTTGAGAAGGAGGAATAAAGGAGTTAGGAAGTTAAGGGATACTAAATAATCA